ATTCTAGACGGAAATTTCCGTCTAGAATACATAGACCAATTTTTGCCTCCTTTTTTAGAATGGCGGGAATTTTGCCTCCCTTTTTTTAACCAAAAAAATTAAAAAAATTACAAAACCCCCTAAATCCCGCCGGTGGAGACTCCGGCAACAAACCTACCGACTAGAGTTTTAGTCTTTCCTCTCCTTTCCGAGCTTCCTACCGTCGTCCCCCTCGACCCCGTGCCCCCCCGTTGTCCTCCTCGACATCTTCGTCCCGTCGTCCTCCTCGACGTTTCGTCGTCGCCTCCCCATCAGCTCCTCGACGTCCTCCTCGGACGTCATCGTCCCGTCGTCGCCCCCCCCAAGCCCCCAGCTCCTCGCCGTCCCGTCGTATATTGCAATGGGTATATGACCACTTTGCAAATAATCGTTTTTTTTGTTTTTTAGTAATTACAGATCCCGAAAGATGTTGACTCTACTCGTAATTCTCCTGTTCCTCGCTGCAATCGTAGCTTTCCTCTTCAAATTCGCCACAACCGATAGTAATTTCGAAACCCTTGATTTCCTCCCTTCTAATTTTAGCAATTTTGGCTTATCACCGTGTAATTTTTTCCCCCCGACATTTAGGGGATTTTACTCTGATTTCTAAGGGCCACGCGAAGCTTGATGAAATTGATGGATTTACGGGGGTTTAACGTAACTGAATACATTTTGATTGTTAGGCTGTGTGGATTACTGGTGCAAGCCGTGGAATTGGTATGGGATCCTTTTCTTCTTTAATTCCTTAAATTTTTTTTTTAAATGAATGAGTGACCTAAATAGCAGTCACCAAGTATATATTTGAAATGGCTTGAAATTGTGAACTTAGAACAAAGAGGAAAGAAATTTAGTGAGGTTTGAATCCTGAGTTTATATATTTATTTAGTAAAAGAACAATTAACTGTAAAAGTTCTGAAATGCTTGCAACAATACACAATTAATACTTAATAACCTACTTATTGAGATTGGAATAGGTCAAATTGATTAGTTGGCCTTCTATCTAATATGTGCAAATTTGTGTTCATAGATTATTGGATGTGGATGAGGACATAGCAATAAGCAAGGTTATAATATACTCAAAGTTATTATAATGAAGCACATCAAGTTTCCTTCTCCCCTTGCCCCGCAAGAACCTAGTTGACTTGTGAAGTCAGGTTGAAATACTATAACTAAAACTGAACTCCTTTGAACAATTTATTCGGTAATTTCATACGTAGAGATCCTTGAAATAAAGTTATGAGAATTGAATGAGTTATTATGGTAAACAATGAGTTATTATGGTAAAATGTAAATTATTTATTTCATCAATATTGTCATATTTCTATTCAATTTAGTTACAACTTTTGATGACTGTTAAATTGAATGAGATTCTGAATCAAACACCAATGTACGCTTTCTGTTCACCTGGATTGTCAGTGTGTATTCAGTCCAAAAGCTTTTATCTACAAATTTATTTGTTCTATTTCACTCAGTATTTCTGAATAATGTTTTTTCCCCCACTGAAATGATGGTTTTCATTGCAGGTTCTATATGACATTGTTGATCATCGCGACAACTTGTTGCTGGATGATGTAAGCTTCTAACTTGCATTTTGTTGTTTTCTGTGACTAGTATCCAGGTTTAGCGCTTTTAGTTTCAATACTAATTCAATAAGTTGTGGTTTTGATATTTTTACCGTGTGAAACATTGACAAATATTGTCATGAGTGAAATCAGTCTATTTGAGGGTAAAAGTGTTAAAAAATTAACACACGGGTTGCATGATAGTTTCAACCGGTGCATATTTTCTCATTAAGGGCTTAAGAGACTATTATGTCATGTTTATATTATCTGTCATAAATAAAAAAAAGAAGCAGGTTATCGTCCGAATAAGTCCTCTGAGAGAAATGAAAAGAGTTCTGTACATGGGCTTAGTGGCTAAACCAAAGACTTGGATTGAAGGGGTTTATGAAGGGTTTGTCCTACAAGTTATTTGGTTAATGTTTTTGATCTTTAGGTTTATAATGAAAATGTTCTCTTTAATGTTTTAAGAAAGGAGGGGTTTGGTACTTTGAAACAGGGAACAAATGTGTGTTTGTGGTCATGAATATACTTGCACATATTGTTGTTAATTATTAGTGGAAAAGTTTAATTAAGGAAAGCAAGCTCATAACAATGATGGATGACTAGGAAGTAGTTGTTTTGAGGATGCAACCATGTGATGCACATGGGTTTTTGTTGGAGATTTTCTTCATGTTTTTGCATGTTTTGTTATAAGAATCAATAATCATAGAACAGTATTAAACTTGAGAGCTTCATTTCTTTAGCCAATACCTATGTTTGGTTGATGTGTCCATAGGCATGCAAAAACATGAATATATATATATATATATATATATATATATGAAAAACATAATCATATGTGGCGTGTATGCTTGTGGATCTGTTGTGTGCTGAAGTACTTTTGGGGAATTTACTTTTTTTTAATATTCTCATGCTTTAACATTATTTGTGAATCTATGAAAAACATGATTCGGTCAGGCTAGATCAACTACCTAGCTACTAGGCTAATTTGCACAACTGTATTTGTGAATCCTACTTATATAACGCAAATTTGGCCTCATGTTTAGTTATTACTCATGTTTAGTTATTACTAAGCATACTTCTAAATTTAGGAATATATCATATTCTTAAAAATAATGCCACCTTCTTTTTTATCTTGCAGGTGCATGTGTTTCTTTGAGCTTCTCTGGAGAAAATGGACTTGGATATCGGTTTGTCATGCGTCGATATTGTATTTTTAAACCACAACTTTCTTTGTGTTGAGCCCAAAACAAATAGTGAGTTGATTCAGTTGTGCGGCAAATTTATACGTATATGTGTGGCAGATTTATAAGTTGACATTGTGGTACTTTGTTGTGTGAAAAAACAAAGGATTTGTATGTGGTTGGTATCATGTTGGTGTGATTTATTTATGAAAAAACATTTGTTACTTTGTTGTGTGATTTATTTAAGTTGTTTTGTGTGATTTATTTAAGTTGTTATCATGTTGGTGTGGTTTCTTAATTTGTAAGCTGGATTTACAGGGTTATTTGAGTGGATTTACAGATTTGTAAGCTGGATTTACATATTTGTAAGCTGGAAACTGCACAGAATATCCCAGACGGATTTTTTGTATCCCAGACGGATTTTTTTATCCCAACTGGAAGCTGAATTTATTTGCTGCCGTCCTGGGATAGTTATCCCAGACGGAATAGTATTCCGTCTGGGATAACTATCCCAGACGGATTTTCCGTCTGGGGGATTTTACATCCCAGACGGTTTTTCCGTCTGGGATAACTATCCCAGACGGAAATTTCCGTCTGGGATGTAAATTATCCCAGACGGAAAATTTCCGTCTGGGATAGTTATCTCAGACGGAAAAAATCCGTCTGTAATGTATTACAGACGGTTTTTTTTCCGTCTACTAAAATCCGTCTGTAATACATTACAGACGGAATTTCCGTCTAGAATAATGTATTCTAGACGGAAACAAACTAGACTCGTATTCCAGACGGAATTCCGTCTGGAATACGTTTTCTGGACGGAATTTTAATTATTCCAGACGGAATTTTCCGTCTGGATTACGTTGTTTTGTACCAGTGCTTTCTGACATTCAACCCACTTTTTTGTACTAGAAAAATACTTAGGGGGTTTAGTCAAATAGAACCCAATATTAGAACTAGAATAATTTGTGGTATAAAATTTTATAGTGTTAAATTAACTGGAGCTAAAAGTAAAATAAAATTTTACAGTATTAGTCAACTAGAACTCTAACAAAACTAGAACTAAGAGAATTATACAAAATTATTCTACTTTTTTTTATTTTCTATATAAAAATGAGAGTTCTAGTCTCTCAAATTATCCCAAGTTTTACCTTGGAACTAGGTGGTAAAAACTAGAACTCCTATTTATTTTATTTTATTTTTTTCATTTTTATATATTGTTTCTTTACTTCTTTCCTACTATTGTCATCACCATCTTTAGACCATGCCATCAGATGAGATCACGTCTTCTCTTAGTCATCTATAATAATTTTTTTACCAAATATTATAATTATATAATTAATTTAAAAGTAAATATTGTATCAATCCATAATTTATTAATTAATAAAATTGAGAGATGAGGGGAAAAGATCTTGGAGAGCAAAAAAGGAAGGAAAATGTGAAAAGCTTTTTTTAGAATTGTACTATAATAATAATTAAAAGATAAAAAAGATACAACATATATATGATAAAAATTGTCAATATCTTATAGTTTAACGAAAAGTTAATTATTTAGTAATAAATAACATTCTTGTAAACAATTTTCAATTAGTAATAGTAAGTTTAAAATACATAAAATAGTATTTATATGCTTGAAATGTATAAATATATATTATAAAAATTTATCCCACGTTATTTTATCAAAATATCCCGCTTCACAAAATTATTCCTATTTATTCCACTAAAATATTTCATTTGCAAAAAATTGTTTCACTTTAATAATTATCCCACTTCGCATGAAAATATCCCAATTGGCTAACACTCCCTGGAGAAAGAGGTTGATTGATAATTTATGGAGATGCTAATCGAGAAAACATCCAATGTTCTCTACTTTTTGCATTAATTAATGGGGTATTAGAACCTCAAATTAGTGAACAAGGTGTGTACTTTGATCCATATAGCAGATATGTGATGAATCATTACATGCTTTCTGAGAGTCATCCTCATATTGAGCAGTGAAACTGTTTAGAGACCACTAAATAATTAAGCAAGGCAACATTTCAGCCTATGTACACGGAAATTAACACTTAAATTGTCATTTTTGCATATTGAGTAGTGAAAATTGGAATATGTTAGATAAATCTGCATCAGATAAGTAGTTAATGAATGAAGTAAGAGTGGCAATAGACTTGTCTTTGTTAGAAAGTGTTGGAAACTCTCATATATTTAGCATTGCCTCGTAAAACTATCTACTGTAAAGTTGAAGCTGAAAGCCAAACTTTCCACAGACAAATTTCTCTAGTGCATACTCCAAAGAAGTAGAATTTGTCACTGAAATACATAGACTGCCATTTCTTTTCCAAACTACAAACTGGTCATAAGAAAAAAGAAAAGAAAAGGAAAAGAAAAGAAAAAGAAACCAAATGGAAAATTTCTTCATATATGATCCCTTTTTTTTAAATCCATGCTCAACTCCGTCGCCTTTTTCTAAGCCGCGCCATTCTGGAACTTGGGGCGAGTCCCATGCCCATAGATGAACTTGGCTGTGTCCTCAGTGTAAACTTGTGTTTCTTTTGCTAGTCTGAACACATAAAAGCAAATCACGTTGATATCTATACAAGCAGAAAATAAAATTGCAATAAGAGTGCTAGTCTTACGTACGTTTTTCTGACAGCTTTGCTGAGAGTTGAGGCCGAAGCAAAGGTTTCGCCATCAAGATATCTGTTCTCTCCTTTGATCCTTTGCTTTATCCTCAAATCCAGTTCCTGTACATCAAGCGGCAGTGGAGAATCCGATGCCTGAAATCTCACTATAGGTTACAAAAATTGCCCTGATAGTGCGACACTGCCACTTACAGTTTACTGCAGTAATGATATTTTGTTTGAATTTTAAGAATTATTGTCAATAATTTCCAATAGTTACAATCAGTCTCACTTAAGAATTTCCAAGGGCTGAAAAATTATTTCTATTGCATGCTATGCACGTGTAACTAAACTATATACCACTATATTCTGCGTTAACAATGTTTGAAAATGATGGGGAAAATATGATCTTCGCATTTAAAAAACAAGAAAAACTTCTTTAATTAGTAACTGAATCACCAAGGGTAGGGGGGAATTTTTTACCATGATCCAACCCCAAGTGTCCGCATAAGATGGGATATGAGCAGAGTAGGGCACGACATCTACAGAGAACAAAAAACAATTTTTTTGAGAAAAAATTACATAACAAATATAAAGTAGTCTAAAAAGAGCTTATCACATACATCTGAAAACATGCTTTAGTGTGTTGTAGATGCATGAGAAAACCTCTGTATGTGAGAAAACTCCTGCTGGTCCAGCCTACAATTAATAAGAAACAAAGTCATTGTGCTAATAATTCATATTAGCTGAAAAAGAGGTAATTAAGAAAAATAGCTTAAGTGATATATACCTGCGTGACAAAAATGCCACCCTCATTGAGTTTGGGCTTGATGATTGATTCATAAAAGGATTTGGTGTAGAGCTGATAGCACGGTCCTCCTTCAATTGGATCAGCAAGGTCTCCTATGATCACATCAAATTGATCCTTTCTCTTCTCTAGCTCAGCTCTGTTTCATCAAGTGTATAATTAGTTACTAATTTATTCCCTTTATTATCATTATTATTATTATTATTTTGCGAATTTAAGTTGTGAGATTAATCACCGAGCATCGTTAATGATGAGGTGGAGTCTGGAATCAAAGAAGGCATCTCTGTTGACTACAAGGTGTGATTTGCAGAAATCAACTACTTCCTGTAGAAAACAAAGGTAATTTAGTGACATTCACAATAACAAAAAAA